AAAGAGTTGTTCCTCCAAGCCCAACAACCTGGCATGGCACAAGCACCTCCCCAGGGAGTCCTGTGCCAGCACCAAGCAGCCAATCACCCCCTCTTTTATGAAATAATGGTGGGCTCCTTTGCTTCTGCAGAATCCTGGAGCTTCCCCATGAGGCTGATGGCAAGGAAATGCTGGGTTACAACTGTTGTGATACCATCATTCCCATTCCCATAGGGATCCCAGGCACTCCTTGCTGTGGGCCAGGGGTGGCTTTGGTCAGCAGAGCTCCAGGCAGCACATTCTGCAACAGCATCAGCCCCAGGTGAGCTCAGAGACAAAAAAAAACAGCTGGAATTTTTCCACAAAACAGCCCCTTTCTCCCCATGGAACAGCACCTTTTGCCAAGGAGAAGTGAGAAGGAAAACCTTACCTTTTAGGATTTGAGAAACACAGAAGGATTTTTGTGTTCATCCACATTCTTCATGGGCAGCAGACAGGGAAGGGTTTGTTAGCACACTGAGGCTGAGGAGGGTAAGACCAGGCTGAAGCAGATGGACACACAGAGCTGTCATTTTAGGTGCAGTTGGGAGTCCTTTGGTGCATCTGCCCTTTCTGGAAAACTCTGGTTTTCCAGAGAACACCAGAGTACCTGGTTTTCTACACGTGACCTTTGGGAAAGGTGGGAAGCAGCAGATGAAAGGTGCTGTGGAGATCCCAGCACCCCAGTTTCCTTCCTCCTGCCTGCCCTTTCCATTCCCAGCTCCTGCTCCTCTGACAGGAAACCCTCCATCCCCATCTGACCTGTGATCAAACCTTTACAACCTGTTGTTTGTGCACTTGCTGCTCCACTCCAGGCACAGCAGTGGGAGGCAGAGCTGTTTGGGGGCTGGAAAACTTCCTAATGTCTATGAACACACAGCATGAAGTGGTCCATGGAGCAGCCAAATCCCTGCCTCTCCTGTGCCAGGAACCAGCTACATCTTCCCAAGAGGCTGGGAGGGAAACAGAGCATCCCTTCCCAGAGGATACAGCACCAGGGGCTGCCAAGAGTTTCAGAGTGGGGAGAATTTTGCTGTGGGTCAGGCCCCCCCTTCTCACCTCCACAGGGGTAGTGCTGAGGTCCCTCTGTGCACCCCACGAGTGTCAGGTGGTGCCAAGTGGCATCTCTTCCCTGAAGCCAACGGTGGAGACATCCCAGCAGGAAAAGGCTGGTGAGAAACAACATATTAGTTTTGTAATTCTTAGGGGTGAGGGTTGTCAAGGGGGAAAGAGACCAGGGAGGAGATGGTGCCTCCCCCATTGCTCCCTCCAGGGCTGACCCACAGCTCCCTGAGGGCCTGGCTGTGTCTTGAGCAGGCAGAAGGCAGCTCAGCTGCCTTGGTTTCCTCCAGGTGCCTCCTGCAGCACCAGCCTGCAAAAAAACCCCAAATGTATAAGAAAACCAAGCACAGAACCTGCTCTTGACAATCCCCATTCAACAAGCTTTCATTTTGCCAGCACATTAGACTGCAACTGTCCACGACCTGCACAGCAGCACAGTCACCTCTGCAGTCACCTCCAGCACCATCAGGTGCAGAATCCATCACCCCATGGATAAAAATGTGGCATTCCCAGGGCCCTCATCACCAAGGAGAAGTGCTGCTGCAGACAGGCCCTTCCCTGTGCTGCTGCTTGAGACAAAAAGCTTAATTAACTACCAGTTCATTGTCTGTTTAGAGGGATAAATCTAAAATCCAAGGATGGTAATAAAGTGGTGAATTATCTTCTTTGGCAGCTGAGAAGCAACGGCTCCAAAAAATCAATATGCTGAAGTTATAGGTACACACACATGTATGTTTGTTGTTATTCTGACTCAGGCAGCAGCAGGGAATGGAGGGAACCAGCTCATCAGCCAGCTGGTGTGAAAGAAAACAGTTTCCCACCAGTTAGAGCCCCTGCCCAGCCAGAGGTAGACATGGAGCATCTCCTGTCACCCGGGGCAGAGCTTTGGTTCCAGCCCCATCACAGGAGCATCCTCCAGGACTCACCCTGTGCCACTGGCCCAGCAAAACCCCTCGGGAATTTTCAACTCATGTAAAGTGACCATATTACCATGACCCCAAAGCTCCCTAGCCCTGGCCAGAACATGATGGTCTAGACCACCCCAACAGGATAAAAAGGGGTTATAAATGCAAGGTGGGCTGTAAACCACCAGAGACAAAGGCTGAAATAACCTGTCCCTGTAAAGGGCACAGACTGGGCAGCACACCCATGGGATCCTCCAGACAGGTCAACAGTGTTCATGTTGGTTTTTGCTTTGCACAAGTGCTTCTGGAGCTCCAAAGGACACCAGGACCTTCCAGAGAGTCCCCAAAGCCTTTTCAAAGCTTTCCAGAACCTGGGGCTCTGACTCTGCCCATGTTTCTTCTTGGATCCTCCTCTTGAGCCTCAAGCTACTGGGTCTTCATGAGAAAACAATGATCAGAGAGGAGGAGAATCCCAGCAAACCACCCACTTGTGCTGTGCCACGACAAGCTGCTTTCTCCAGTTCTCCCTGCACACAATTTCGCCCTTGAGAGAAGAAATCTAATTTGATTGCAAGAGCTGCCAATGCCCAAATGCTTTGGGCAGAAGATCATTTAGTCCCAGGAACTTCTCCATCCCCCCTCCAGCGACACGGCTGGGTACAAGGCGCTCTTTATTGAGATAAACCAGCTCCAGCTCCACTGCTGGCTCAGCCTCAATTACTGCATTCACGCCTCTGTCCATCTCTGTAGCAACAAGGCAGAAAGGCTTCCAGCCTGGTATCTATCTCCTGTGCCACTGAGCATCACCAGCCACCCTGGAACTGCCTGGATGAGCAACTTGGTCCTATGGTGTCTGCGGGAGCCCCCAGGGGCTTCTCCTCCCCTGCACTGCATCCAGCCTTTCTGCCTGTTCCCAGGGGCAGCAAAAAACAGCCCTGAGTTTGTTCAGATGTGGCTGTTTGCAGAGGGCACCAGGCAAGAGCAGGGAGGGGGTGGCAGTGTCCTCAAGCCACCTGTGCATCCTCACCCCCCAGGAGCCACACGTGTCCTTGAGGCTGCTGAAAGGGACCAAGAGAAACTGGGAGGTGCTGTGGCTGATGGGACACTTCCAGCAGCAAGCAGCACAGGTGGCATTGCTGCTGTCAGAGCACTGAAGCTGGGGGTGTTAAAGGCTCATCTGCTGGCTTAGAGTCCCCTACAATTGCAGCCTCCAGAAGATGGAACATTTCCCTTCAAAGCTGGAAAGCCTCAAGGGCTGCTCAGATAAAAAGCACCTGTGAGAGTGTACCTGACACCACTCTGGGAGGTGTTTTACCCACTGTGAGGGTCCCTGGGGCTCCCTGCATGGCTGAGGTGCAGCATAACCCCAGCCAGATGTTCATCTCTACCCTCTCCTTCCTTGGGCCAACAGCTGGGAGCCCACAGTCATGTACAGCACTTAACACTGGAACAGGCTGCCCAGGGAGGTGGTGGAGTCACCATCCCTGGATGTGTTTAAGGGTCATTTGGATGTGGTGTTGGTGGATGTGGTTTAGGGGAGAACTTTGTAGAGCTGGACTCAGTGATCCCAAGGGTCTTTTCCAACCTGAATAGTTGTATGGTTCTGCATGACTGAAAGATGATGACCAGCAGCATCCTCCAGGCACAGCCTGGGCAGGGTTAGAGGGTGACTGCAGCCCTCAGCAGCCTGGCCAGGCTCCCCGTGCTCACCAGATCACTGCAGGCTGCCTGGGGAGCAGGAGCAGCTTTGCAGGATGCTGGGAACACAGCAGAGGACTTAGAGCCCTGGCACCTGCTGGAGGTGCAGAGCCAGGTCAGGTGTGAAACATGGGATCCTGCTGCTCCTGTCAGCACAGGGCAGCATCAGCACAGCCTTGCATAGGGAATTTGGGAAGCTCCTGCCCTTGCAAGCTTGTCAGCACAGTGAGTCCTTCACTTCCATTAGCTGCTAATTCACTTGCAGCAGAGGAAAGGGATGGAGGTGAGGGTGGCTCCTCAGCTCCCCACAGGATCCTGTGTTTTGAGAGCAGAAGAGAAGCTGAATTTCCCATTCTCTTCTTCAAAAAGGAAACGAGTGCATTTTTCTTACAGTGTTAATTAAAGCCAGCAATGACCCTGCCTTCACCAAGAAGAAAACAAAAAGGTAAAAAGAAAAGCCTGCACCAGCTTTATGGGTCAGAAAGGTTCCCTGACTGCCCTGCTGCAAGGGGAGATGCCCAGAGGAAACAAGAGCAGCAATTAAAAATTAAAGAGAGAGGGAGAGCTGTACAGCAGATTATTGAGGTGTGGTTGCCTCAGTGCAGTGCATGGACAGGGCTGGAAATGCCCTGGGGGAGACTCCTGACACAGCAGGGAACAGAGCAGAGACCCCCCCTCACAGCTCTGCCCAGCTCCAGCCTGGGCAGGGGAGGGGGAACAAGGAAGGGATCAAGGCCTGGGGAAGGAGAGCAGCCAGGGAGGGGGGATAGGAGGTGCTGAACCCCAGCTCCCAGGGGACAGAGCATCCTCCTTTGGGTGAGGTTATTGGAGGCTGAAGCCCCCCCAGAGCCCCTGCTGGGAGGCAGAGGAGGCACCACGTCCTGGGTTGGATCCAGACACTCTAAAAAAACAAAATCCCAACCAAACCCAGTGAGACCCAAGGGCCAGATCCGTCCCTGGGTTGGGCTCCGAGCTGCCAGCTCAGCCTTGTCCCCTCCTGTCACACGCAGCTCAGCTGCGTTTCCCAGCCTGGCACGGTCCGGGAAGGACAATTCATTGCTCAGCCACCGAATTAGCATCAAAAGGACACCACAAAGAAGGGACCACGAGAAGAACAGGCTGGAGGAGCCTCCCGGGCTTATCACATTCCCCTGAGTCCCTCAGCCAGCGCTGCCTCCCCAGATGGGGCTGCCCAGCAGCTCCCAGTGCCCCCAGCCATCCCACTGGAGATTTTATATCCAGGCTCAGCCACGCGAGCTCACTGACCTGCTGGCACCAACACCAACAATCTGGGAAGTTGTTTGAGCTGGGGAAAGGAGGAGGATGCAAGAGGTGCACCGAGGGGCTGAGAAGAAAGGGGAGCTCATGGCCCCCCCACAGCCCCCCCTGCTTCTGCAGGGCCCGGGGCTTGTAGCAACAACCCAGAGCGAGCTGGGGCAGCCTGGGCAGGACAATAACCCCCCTGTCCCACACCTGGGGAGGGCAGGAGCAGCAGGCTGCTGGGAGGCTTGAGGCGACCTTATGAGGATGAAGAGATACGAGGCACGTCGAGCTTCAGCTGTAGTGAAAGAAGACAAAGCCGGGGTTAAGGAGGGAGCAAGAACTCTCTCCAGCCTTTTCATCCCTGCGGGGACCTGCTGCCTGTGCCCACGGGTGACCCTGGGTCCGGCTGGGGATGCGTGTCCCCCACCCTGGCACCCCATCGGAAGGGAGAGGAGCAGCCCCAGCCCTCGGAGCTCCCCCCGAGCGCTGCCGGACCCCCCGAGGGACCCGCAGCTCCCACCCCATCCATCCCCCCTCCCGTGGGGGCCGCCACCGGGCCTTCT